TAAACTAACTAAGTGCATAGTTATGATGAGCAAGAGTGCCTCTACCAAAATTGTGAATAATTTTATGGTCCCTGGGTCAAGGCTTCTGGTGTTGGGGGGGGGGGGGGGCTCTATAGATTATATTGTAAAAATACATGAATTCTTTGAAAATCTTCTTCTCTGCTCCTAGGTATTAAATAAACTCACGAAGTGCATAGTTAAGATGAGCAAGAGTGCTTTTACCAAAATTGTGAATTTTATGGTCCCAGGGTCAGGGGTTCTGGTGTTAGGGTGGGGCTCTATTGATTATATAGTAAAAATACATAAATTCTTTGAAATCTTCTTCTCTGCTCCTAGGTATTAAATAAACTAACTAAGTACATAGTTATGATGAGCAAGAGTGCCTCTACCAAAATGTGAATTTTATGGTCCCAGGGTCAGGGGTTATGGTGTGTGGGGGTGGGGGGGGGCTCTATTGATTATATAGTGAATATACATTAAATCTTTGAAAATTTTCTTCTCTGTCTCTGGGTATGAAGCAGATGAACTACCTAAATAGTTATGATGAGCAAGGGCCCTAATCTTGCAAAATTTTGAATTTCAAGGCCCCAGGGTCAGGGGTGGATGTGGGGCTCTACTTATATACTGAAAATGAATTAATTGTTTGAAATCTGCTCCTTTGTATTTATAAAACATTTATTTATTTTTTGATAGGCAATTTTAACGGTGCCTTTTTAAAATTTGTGCAATGTGTGGACCTAGGGTCAGGGGTTTATTTCACAGTGTTAGGGGCATTACTGATTATTGCTGAATATTACTGATTAGTTGGAATGCATTTTTTTTCCCCTACCTTGCGTATGGGTATTCAGTACCCCTGCGAGGTGATCATGAATAATTCATGAATTACCTTGAATTTTTCATGAATTTTATTCATGAAATGTTCATGAAACGTTCATGAAGATCCTATGAACTTATTATTGGGCATATTTAAATCAATAAACCAAGCTAAGCAACTGCTAAGTGTATTGTTATGATGATCAATGGTGCCTCTTTCAAAATTATGAATGCCATATAGCATCTGGCTTAAAACATGAATCAAATTCAATAACTGGAAAGTTGTTGCAGAATGCTCAGGTGACCTATAAGGCCCGTGGGCCTCTTGTTGTTCTAACAATTTATTTAAAAAAGTATAGTGTTAAAAAAAAATGACAATCAAAATTGTTGATTTGGTGATTCAGAACCATTCTCATACCCATCAGTCACAAGTTGACAATTAATTTAAAAAAATTGACATATTATAGGGTACTAGTATACACTACTGCAGTGCAAACTTCATAATATTGAACTTTGATAAAATTGTTTGTAACATCACATGAAGTTTAACAGTGCCATTGATTCATCCCCACTTCCCTTAATGTTCAAAGGTTTCTTTATCATGTTTATAGAGGAAACCTAGCTACAGAAATTCCATCAGCCTAAAAATCAATTTCTACTTTCATTTTCAAAGCATGTGATAAGTTATCTGTCAATGGACCAATCATGTGAATTACAACTGATACTTCCTCAATAATATATATATATACATGTATGTAAGATATTATCAGGATTATCAACAACTGTTTGTTATGTACAAAAATATGTATCAATCAGCTCTTACAAAATAATCAACAAGCTCAACCTAGATATAAACCAATTTAAATTATGTAAACAGTACAAATGTACAAGTACACTTATGTTTTGAAAATCTCTTGACAGCTGAAAATATTATTATTAATTTTTTATTTAAAATAGGGAAAACATCTGGTTAATAAGATTGCTTATATTTAACATGTTCATTAGTATCTTAAATTGGAAAGTGCATTTTTAATAACAGATAAAAAAAATAGAGAGAGCTTTCACTATTAAAAAAACATAAATTATGAAAAAGGCATCTTCCTGTTGTTTACAAGTACATGTAGTTCATACATAATTGTATGATCTATATACCATAAGAAAGACCACCTGAGTTAGACAACCTCTCAGGCTTGTAGTATATTGGGGTGGAGGAAGGGAAACATCCTTTTCCCACTTTCTTCCGAAGAAATCTTGGTTCTGTAGAAAATGTACATTGAGAGGCTTATTTTGCAGTATAATAGTCAAAACAGGGTAATATGATGTGGTTTGTAATTTTAATGAAAAAAGTTTATATATATCTTTCCCCCAATGTATCTCTCCTCTAATAGATTGAGAAAAGCTTGGGGCTTAATTTCATATTTAACATGTGTGCATTAACTTTGATGGGACATTTTTTTACTTGAAATTTGACAAGAGCATTTTTTTTTCTAAATGTGCTATAATATTTGTTCCCGCGACCTTGACCTTCACGTTTGACTTAAGGAGGCTGGGAGGTCAACAAATAAATCATCAGATATACACTGTAACTTAATTTTTGAGATATGATATCTTTAGCTGTCAACCATCATTTGGCAAAGAAAAATTTCATGCATTTTAGTTTAAAATTTCATCCCTTTTATACATCTTTATAATGGAGCTCTTCTTCTACTAGTAGTCTGAAATATATAACGTTTTCCAGGCTTTTTTTTCACGATTTTGATGCCAAGAAAACATCAGAACAAAAACTGGAAAATTCGCCGTCTCCAACTGGAATTTATTTTCGATACTTGCGAACCGAACTAAATGCCGAAATCAGAAGTTAATTATCAATAGCACAATGCTTCTAGTACTCACCAATGAAAAGAAAATATCACTGCACATTTCCTTACAGGAGTTGCAAAATTTTAAAATGCACGAAATGAAGACAAATCTCACTCAATTTTTTTCATTAAATCGTATATTTTATAAATGAACCATAAAAACGATATTGGTAAGTACTAAAAGTATTGCACTATTGAAAACTTGTGAGTTTGACATATGATTCAGTTTGCAATTATCTATAAAACCAACCCGAAAATGCCGCCTCCGGTTGGCGGCAAATTCCCAGTTTTCGTAATGGCACATTACATGTAATTATATATAAATCGTAAAAAACCTGGAAAACGTCAGATATTTCGGACTATTCTTCTATAGAATATCAATAAAGTCGAAAAATGGACACAACCACCGTGCCCTCTTAATTATACCCCCGCTCCGAAGGAGAGGGGGGTATACTGTTTTACCCTTGTGTGTCCGTCCGTCCGTGTGTCCGTGGAGCTGTGTGTCCGTCCGTAACAAATTTTCGTCGCAGTTTTCTCAGCAAGTACTCATCGCAGATGCTTGAAATTTTAACACAATCTTCTCTGAGGCATGCCATATGTTGGGATACATTTTTGTTAAAATCTGATGTCAACTTCCTGTTTGTCTGTGCATCTGTCCGTTTCATACATAACAAATTTTTGTCGCAGTTTTCTCAGCAAGTACTCATCACAGATCCTTGAAATTTTAACACAATCTTCTCTGAGGCATGCCATACGTTGGGATACATTTTTGTTAAAACCTGATGTCAACTTCCTGTTTGTCTGTGCATCTGTCCGTTTCATACATAACAAATTTTCGTCGCAGTTTTCTCAGCAAGTACTCATCGCAGATGCTTGAAATTTTAACACAATCTTCTCTTAGGCATGCCATACGTTGGGATTCATTTTTGTTCAAACCCGATGTCAACTTCATGTTTGTCTGTGTGTCAGTCCGTTTCATACATAACAAATTTTCATTGCAGTTTTCTCATTAACTATTCATAGCAGATGCTTAATTTTAGTACACTCTTTGTTGAGGAAAGCCATATGGTGGGATTAATTTTGAAATGAATCTCAACTTCAAAATTTTCTGTGCATCTGCCTGTTATTGAACTTGTGTAAATTAACATGATAGTTGTTGATTTACATCAGAGCGGGGGTATTACTAGTGAGCATTGGCTCACAGATTTCTTGTTTTCAATCATCGCATTATTGTTGCTATTGGCATCCCCATCCATTAAGACACCGAAAGTGGGGGTCACGATTCTTAGAAGTTGCTCATTCCCTTTTTTTCGTCAATTTTTTTTTTCTTCAGGTAAAATTTTTATAGTTGATTTTTTTTCTGGTTGCCCCCAAACGATATTAGTGCCTGTCTGTTTGCCAAGTGTAGGTTATTAATAATTATTACATTTTCAGATTTTGAAGATCTGTTTGATGACGAAGATCTGTCCTGAGTTTTAATGACGTCATCAACCCGGGACACCCCACATTTAAGAAACTCTGTGACTAGACTCTCAATACTGAAATAGCTCAACAAACTCATCACAGACAGTTATTGTTGTGCTGTGTACATACTGTTTGTCCATAAATGCATTCGTTATATTAGATGTTTTTAACCATTTCATTTTTAACATGTTTGAAACGTGGAATAAATTAAAAATAGCTAAAATGGTCATGTGTTTAATTTACCATCAGTTAACAGCAACAGTTTTGTTCCATAATCAAAACAGTTCCACAATGACAAAGATACTGTTAGGCGTAGATAAACTCATACAAAGCAGTGATTTATTCAATGTTAAACAAAGATCACTTTTGCACAAGTGTTTTATAAATACATTGTACGCACGAGGTACGTGTGATAAAGGCGTTTATTGAATCGAAACAGTCATATTGCACTTCACTAATAATTCAATATTGCTCAAAATTTGTATACGTGATATTGGTTATAATTGGTTATTATACCGGTCTTTTCAATACTAGTAGAATATTAATCCTCCCATATCCAGCCCCCCCCCCCTCCCCCCTGAATTTGAACTCTAGGATTCTCCCCCGATGGGAAATCTCACTAGAGACAAAAATCCGATACACCAGAAATACATGTACCAATACTTATCTCAATGAATTGTTTAATATATGTTATTGACTTTCGTAACGATCTACTGTGATTTTTGTGACACCTTATTTTGCGAGGTCCAACAAAGGTATATAAATTAAAACTTTATCAAAATGTTTGCAACTTTTTAAGTCTTTACCATGTACACTTTCGGCGACTCTAAAAGACGGACATTTTACATAAACTTTAAGTTCAAACAAACAAAAACAGTTTGACTTGGATTTTTATTACAAACATTATGGTATAAAATATGCATATATAAGACCATTAGAAATGACAAAAGCTATCGTCCTCGAACTTTATGGACAGCTCTCGTATAAAGCAAACAGATTTAACGTTTTATCTTTGAAAATTGTTAAAATTTAAATATCACATTGGCCTACATATATATTTCACTGAAGAATGTTCAAATGAAAAACAAGAATGAGATGAATTTGATTCGGTCTGAAAACTTTAAAGAACACAATAATCAATTTCACGACTATGGAATTAACAATACTCACATTATAAAGAAATCAATAAAAATTCATAATAAACATCATTCAAAATAAATATTCAAACGGAAAAAATATAAAGTACAGAAGTACTTCCTTTATTTTATCAAATCTAAAATCAATATCTCTTGTTATCAGTCTGGGTATATTTACACATTTATCTTCCTTCTCATTAATTTATCTCTTCATATTCCGACCGACTTCGTCGGCGTCCAAACACATAAGCTACCAGTACGAGGAAAATAAGTCCGGCCAGTGCCGCCCCCACTGCTATAGGTACGATAGCGGCTGTCTTCGTATCCCCATCACACTCAGTAGCATCTGTTTTGGAAAAATTGGTTTTCATTATTTCTAATTAATCAATTTACACTTACATAAATGTACATGTACCAAAAATCAGCTCAATATCTGCAAGAGTTAGGGGGGAAATTACGGAAAACCTTGCAAATGGGTCAGTTTAACAGACAGGCAGAGAAACAAATGAGGAGGAAACCTATAGTCCACTCTGGTTTACAGCGGCACAGAAATAAAAAATGACTAACTATGAAACACTGCAATACAAGATTTTCATATATCTAAACATTATTTTTAGTTGCTTTCGGTCGGGGTCAAAGCAACCAATTATTCTAAATACGTTCATTTATAAACATAATCATACCATCAAAATCTGTAGTGTTTCCTTTGAATGCCTGATATTGAAGATCCTTGGTTATCATAGAAAACCCCTTTTGAAGGTCAAAAGTAGTATCTTTGTTACACAGGTAGCTATTGCTAGCATCAGTTGTCAGCTGAGTGAGGTTAGCAGCAAGGACCGAGGCATTTTTACCGAAAACTGCAAAAAATACTACATGTAGTACACTGTACATGTATATTATGTACAAAATGCATATCTAGTAATTTTTCCTATGGAAACCTATGAAAAGTAACAACCATAAACATACATGTATAAGACCATGCCACCAGCACAAAATCATTAATTGTTGATGTGCACATAAATTGAAAAAAAAAATAAAATCACTTACGACTTTCAACAGCATCATCAAAAATATTGTTGTTGTAGTCATAATCCAGCTCAATTTGAGAGATGTGGTACTTTGAAACTTTCCCCGCTGTCAAGAGATTGCTCTCCATCCGGTCAGATGAGAAGTACATGGTCAACCTCCAGGTGTCGTAAAATCCAATAACCATTTTCTGAGAGTAATAGCCATTCAGTGTTGTGTTGCAGTCACCAGAAATAGTGTATTTTGTTGGAAGAGAAACGGATTTTGTTTTGTTCTACAATAAAAAAAAACATGCCTCAAACTGTATTTAACACGTTCGTATTTCAGCATAAATTTTGATTTGAAATTTGAATTTATGTCTTTTAACTATTTAACTACTCAAGAGCCATGGTCTGTGTATGGTAAATT